AAGAAGCCCTGGAAATTGCGAGAAACCTAGTAGTCCAAGCAGCGAATCTAGCTGAAAACAACCCAACCCAGCAGACTAGCCTGCTAGACCTAGTAGAAGTTTTCAGAGACTACACTGAAAACGGCAGAATTAATAAGAAAAACTCTGCGATTCTAGGAGACCAGATCTCCTCCCTCTCTAACGTCTCAAAGGAGCTAAGAGAGAAGGTTAGGCGCCTAGACAAGCCCACAACAACTGCTACCCCTAGCACCCACCTAGTCCCAGCTAAAACTACCTCGTACGCAACCGTAGCAGCTAGCAANAAAGAACAACCCTGGACTAATGTCCAACACAAAAAGACAACTCCGAAACCTAAAACCAGCCTATCAGAGAGGCAACTAGTGCTAGTTAGCGAAGTGCCAGCTGCTTTCGACGCTCTTAAACTAAGAAATGCTTTTAACCACGCATTTACTACCAAAGGAGGGGTCCAATCTCCTGTAGTAGCCTCAATCACGCCCTCCGCTAAAGGCAATAAAGTAGTCACCACTACCCCAGCCTTCACAGCCAAATACCTGCTAGAAAATCAGAATATATGGAAGGATATCACAACCTACAAGGTTGCCCAGCCAATAAGCCCGTGGTATAAGGTAGTTATTCACAAACTACCAACCAACCACAGCCTAGAGGTCCTGAAGGAAGAAATTGAAACCTTCAATAAAGGCCTCAAAATAGTAGGCTCTCCATTCTGGCTTACCCCGGAGGCTAGAAGAGAGAACCAAAACTTCGGATCTGCCTGCGTCGCTTTTGCTACCGAAGAGGAAGCCCAACGAGCTATTAGAGGAAAACTCTATATTCTTGGGCAAAGTCTCAGAGCTGAAAAGCTAAGGGTTATTAACAACTCAAAGCAGTGCGTGAAATGCCAGGGCTTTGGCCATTTAGAGGCTAGGTGCACTAAAATAGCCTGTCAGATATGCAGCGAGGCTCACCACACTAGCCTACACAAATGCAAATCCTGTCCTGCGAAAGGCAAAGCATGCGTTCACACTATATTTAAGTGTGTTAACTGCAGCAAACCTCATGCAGCAAACAGCCCCAGCTGTGATATCCTCATAGCTAGAACCACTAGAACGAGCAACCCTAACAACTAGGATGATAAAGATCCTACAAATAAATGTTAATAGAAATAGTGCTGCTACTGAGAGCGCGCTCAATCTAGCTATCCAAATGGACGCCAAAATCGTCGCAGTACAAGAGCCCTGGCTACCCAAGGGACCCTCGTACGCAAATACTAGATCTACCACTCACCAGGACTATACTCAGATACTACCTATCTTAGAGGACAGCTTCTTAAGGCCAAGAGTACTCTTCTATATTAGAAAAGATCTAGATGTAGAGGTTAATTCCTTTATTAGCGACGATAACGACTTTCTAGCTATTAAAGTACTAGCTCCTACGTCTAGCTTCTATATCTACAACATTTATAACGAGAAAAGCCTTCAAGAAGGCCTAAACCAAACGACAATCCAGAGGCGCCTCCTACAAGAGACCATGCAACCTCACTCAATTATTCTAGGGGACTTTAACACCCACCACCCTAGATNGAGCCTAGTAGACCGCAGCCCCAGCACACAAGCAGAGGACCTAGTAAAGTGGATAGATACTCAAAATCTTACGCTGTTAAACACCCTGGGGACCGGAACCTTCTACAGAAGTAATATGCGGAAAGAAAGCGTACTAGATCTTTCCTTTGCAACAAACAATATAGCTGCTAGCATCCAGGACTGGCAGACTATACCAGAAGTAGG